ATGCGTCATATGCAGCTGATTAACAGTCACATACGTATGTAAGTGTTACTAATTAGTGAATTAAAGCTTAAATTTTTTTTCTAGATCTTGATTTAATAAGGTCCTAACAAGCCTACGACAACAGGAAGACTTTCCAGAAATGGTCTATAACGCAAATGGTATAGTATCAATTGCAACTGAAAGTTTTAAGAGTGCTAAGGATTATGTCAACAAGATCCTTGGCAAAGTGGAACCATGGTGTTTAGTTGTGCTAACAGCTGCCGGTACTGTTGCATTTATTCGAATTCGTCATCTTTTACGCCAGTCGGATCGCCCACTGTGGGAAAGGTGAGTCGTTTTTTCCTTGTTTGCCTAACTTTGATTAATGGAGAAGAGCTTTTAAAGAGCGAATTGGAGCATTTTCACTAATTGTAACTTGTATCCATGTACGATAAGATTCGTTGCAGAACCGTATCGACCTCTCAGGTCGTAAAAATTAATTTTTAGGTTTTCTAATAAACCGAATATCATTAATTAATTTATTTGTTTATTTATTTACTTGTTTTTTTTTTTCTAGTATATATTGCTTCTAAGAATAAATAGTCCTTTTAGATTCAAAGGGTATGCATTTTCGATTGCACGAAAGACTGCTTTTGTGCAGAAAAAATTACAAGGTCCGATTCTGAAAACTCGTTGTGACCTTCTAAAGGCTATTCATAAATGTGATAAAGAAAGGATATTTATATGTGAACTACCACCATTTGGGTATGAAAACGACAAAGTGCTTCAAATTGCAGGTAATGCAATAAAACTTTGTTTTTAAGCACTTATGGCTGATTCAGATTCGTCACCCTGTTGTTGTTGTATTTCATAAGTTGAGTAAAAACTTTCATATTTAAGCGCGATATAAAGAAATGTGTGAAGTAGATTTGAAAAACGGCCGAGCTAGTGGTGCCAAATATAATAATAACGATGAGAAGCATGCTGAACTGCTGGATAAAGTTAGTCTGCATTTCAATAATGTTCCTCTCTGTTTGTTTCCAGATTTTTAAGTTGACCTTCAAAAATGAAAATTTAGATTTTTCATATGTATGCTTACTCAAACCCTTTACACCCTGAGGTCTTTCCCGGTTGCAGGAAAATGGAAGCAGAACTTATACGGATTGTCTGTGGGATGTATTATGGAGACCGTGACAGTTGTGGAACTGTAACTAAATTTCATTATTTTTTATGAATTTTTTTCACAGCTTTTCATTAACATCTCTCTAGTTCTTCTGTTAGTTTAGATAACTTTACTGTTAGCAATTCTAATTTAACTATTCGAATGCAATAGGTATCACTAGTTTTGCGCTTCACAGTGTTTTAGATGACTACAGGCGGTACAGAATCGATCATGCTTGCCATGTTAGCTTACAGAAATAGAGCATATGCAAAAGGAATAAGGGATCCAGAAATACTTGTGCCTGTCACAAGTCATGCTGCATTTGATAAGGTTAGTTTAAAACCAATATGTCTGACAAATATATTGCTAAAAAACTCCAGGTCGGTGGCTTGTTAGTAAGGATAGATTTATTTCATCAGTTGCTTATGTTCTAGGCAGCAGCGTTTTTTGGAATTCGAATAAAGCACATTCCTGTAACAGTAAATAATGCTGTTGATGTCCGGGTTATGTCTGAAGCGATATCGTCTGAAACTTGTGCAGTAAGCTTTTTTGTGATTTTCTAGGCCTTAGTGCAGTGGATTTTAGCATACATATGATATCTTTAAATTCTTGTATTAGGTTGGCAGTTATTTTTAACTAATCTCAAATGAGCTGCTATTCAAGATTTGGTTTTTCCATCTTCATCACTGGTGAAATTTTCGATTTTAAGCTCATTATACTGTGTAACGACAACTGCTACCTGTTCTAAGTCAATTACTTTGTTTCTTTTTAGCTTGTTTGTTCTGCTCCATGTTTTCCGTCAGGCACGATTGATGACATTGAAGAAATTTCCCGGGTGATTTTTTTACTTATCGTGATATCTATAATATAGTATTTACTTCCTTTGATTAATGTAACTGTCAGCTTGTTTGGTAGTACTTTTATATGTTTATTATTTCAGATAGGACACTACTACAATATACCAGTGCATGTGGATGCCTGTCTTGGGGGTTTTTTGCTTCCATTTATGGAGGAGGCAGGCTACAAGCTACCGCTGTTTGACTTTCGCCTACCAGGTGTTACCTCGATATCGTGTGATACTCACAAGGTTAAAACTTTGATGTAGCGCATAGTGGGTTCGAAGTTTTACGAGTAATGTTATTTTTTTTGCAGTTTTAAAGGAATAAGCTTAAATTTCAGTATGGGTATGCTCCAAAGGGTTCCTCAGTTATTCTTTATCGTAGTTTTGAGTATTTGCATTACCAGTATTTCTCTTTGCCTGATTGGACTGGTGGGCTTTATATTACACCTACTTTTGCTGGTATGAATTTCATTTTACTTTTTTTCTTTTAGTACTTTGGCTAGTGAAAAGCCTTTTTAATTGAGCTTTGAAACTACTCCAGGTAGTCGCTGTGGGGCGTCTATAGCGCTTACTTGGGCAACTTTGTTGTCAATTGGAAAAGAAGGTTATGTTGCAAGAACAAAAGCAATTATCGAGTGTGCACATGAGATAGCAGACGGGATTCGTAATATGTCAGTAATGGTAGATTTTTTCTGCAACTCGTCAGTTTCTGTTCTAGTACTTTTTAGAAGGTTGAGATATAACTCTTCCAGTTTCCTTTCTGTATTAATAGAATGTTTTGGCAGGGGACCAAGTGTCTGAGACTTTTTGGCTCTCCTGATGTATCTGTTGTGGCTTTCACCAGCGACGTTCTTAACATCTATGCTGTTTCGGACAAGATGTCTCTCTTAGGGTGGAATCTCAATACTCTCCAAAACCCTCCAGCGTAAAAATTCAATTCACAATCAAAATCTGTAAAAGATTGTATGTTCCTGATGTTAAATATCACTTCCAGCATTCACATTTGTATCACATTAAATACCGCATACTCTGAAGCAGCAAAAGATTTCTTGCGTGACCTTCGGTCAGTCACAGAAGAAGTTATGAACGATCCAAAGAAAGGGGAAGGATCAGCAACAGTAAGGCTTTTTGCAGCCATTACTTTTTTTGATTTCTCGTGTTTATTTTTGATAGTAGAAAAACTGGTTTTAATTTTCCTACTTTTATGACTCAAAATGTCGTTTTTTAAAATGGTCTTACAGCAAATGTTACTTTCCTTTTTTTAACTAGCAAAACAGTACAATCGCGTCAGTTCGTTGGAAAAAAGTAATGGAATTGAAATATCTTTTTGTTTTTGGTTGGGAAATAAGGTGTCAATGTACTACTTGTATTTCAGGCTTCTTTATACGGTCTTGCTACTGCAATACCTGACAAGACATTAATATCGGAAATGACTTACGAATATTTAAATGCGTATTATGCCACTCCGCCTGTTGGTTATGAGAACGAGTTGTTGCAGGGCGTTTGAATTATTAGTCACATCAATTTTCATAAGTCACTTTTGTATTCATTTCTTATTCAGGTGATGTATTAATTTATGCAACACAGTCACTTGTTACCCTTGGCTTACTCATCACTCTTGTTACTTAGCCTTACTGCGTAGAATAAATGGTTTTGTAAGGTAGCCGGGTGTTTACTTTTATAGAGAGAAATCAAAGTACTAACAAGCAACTCTCGTAATCTGTGCAAGCAAGATAAGTGTTTGTTGCTTGCGACCTATATGAATTCAGATGAGTACCAGAAACTGGACAAGCACTGATGTATTGAACTGAGTACGATGATTCGCTGTT